AGTGACTGGATTTCAGACGTGTTCTCTTCCGATCTCCCCAAAACCCCAAAACCCCGAGGATGATTTGATCGATTCTGAACTTTGACTGAATGGAAATTAATTGTTCAATATTTGAATAAATCATCTAAATTCTTAGAGGCTTGGGTTCCAGCACTAAAAGTCCAAAGTTCTTGTGACTGCTAGGACTGCTTCTACTTTTTCTTCTTCTATTTTTCTATCTTAAGCTATCTCCTTTCCTATTCTTACTACTCTTGCAATTATTACTATTGTTGTAGCTAAAGCAACTCATTTTGATGACTTTCATCCTCCATATTAGCATCTACTTTCTCTATTTATTTCTTGTCAAGTCCTAATTACTCCTCTTGATTAGAATCTCCTTATTTATCAATCTCTTACTGCATTATTTAATCTTAGTTAGGAATTTAACTTCCTAGTTGGTCTTTACTGATTTCAGATACCTTCTAGATAGAGTTCTCAATTTCTCTCTTGAACTACACTCTTTGCATTCTTTCATATGCTGGGTTACTTTCCCTTTCAGCAAGTGTTTAATCAGCCATAAACGACAACTTCGAAGGTAGTTCCTTGAGTAAGTGAGAGGGGATCGAACTCATTGTCTTTATTTTCTTGACATAATCAGGCAAGGCTGAATTTGTAGTTCCAGCTGCACTCAAAGCACTTCTGACTCCCGGGTTAATATCAGAAACAGAGGCTTAAATCGCATCACTTTTAGATTGTACTTTATTGTTCATTACGAATTCATATTCCTCTAGGTAGCCTTGCTTGTAAGGCATTAGTGACAATTGATCTTTAGACTACATATGTGATCTTAATTTTTGCTTTGGCATGTCATAGTTGTACAAAGCATTCAAGGTGTCAATTAAATTAGACTCTGTTCTGCCATTCAATTCAGTGTACTACTTGATCTCCTTCCCCACTTCCTTCATATCTAATTACTTATTTAAAGTTCATTACTTACACTCTTTCATTAAATCTGTAATTGCATATAAAGCGTGATTTTCAATAGTCTAAAAATTTTTATCAAGTAGGACCAGGGCTATATTCTCTTGTAGCTATGTGAATTACAATTATAGGAAATTTGTACATTTTTATCAATGTAATCTGAAATGATAGTAGCCTAATGCTGTTAGATTTGCTGGGATCTTTAAGTCTAGGTGTAATGATGTCCTCCCGCTCCTGATCCGCCTCCTTGCGCATTAGCTCTTTGTTACATTTTATTGATAATTATATAATTCCAATTATTAATTCCCCATTTCCACAGAATTCTATATTTATTGTCAATAAGGGGTTTTGGGGTTTTGGGGTTTTGGGGTTTTGGGG